AAAGCTCTGAACTACTTATATATACCGCTCACCGCGAAAGATAATTGTTGAGCATTTCAGCCATATTAACATAATGGTAAATCTACATTTTTATTCTTTAAGTTACGTAATATTTTGAAATGTGAATTATAGTGTGATTAATTCCTAACAATTTTATGTAGAATATCCTGCTTGCAAAATATAATTTGGCATCAACATTATTCATGCCCATTCTCCCGTTATTTCAAAAGTGTTTGTTTGTTTCGAGGAATATGATAAAAAAATACTCGCAGTCAAATACGACAGTTAGTGGAGCGATTTTGTTTTTTGGGTAAATTCCAATAGCAAACGAGAGTCTAGTTAACTTGGAGAGTAGCAAACGAAATATTTTTCAGCTCTGAGGATTGTTTGTTTGGAATTAAGCACAAAGCTACACAATGGGGTATCTGTGCTCTGCCCACACCGGGAATCGAAACCCGGTTTCTAGCGTTCTAATACCGTAGACATGCCGCTATGCCACTGGGGGCCATTTCAAAAGTGAATGTTGAGCTTTGCACTGCGTGCGCAGCTTTTCAAACGCAGCGCGGGAAGCGGCCACCGTAATCAGAAAAAAAAGAAACAAACGCTGGGACAGACACCACGGTTCTGCAATATATATAAGACTAGCCATCCTTACCAGGGTATTACCTGAACAGAAGGCCAGTGTTTAGCTATTTTTAAACAGAGAGAATCAAATAAAGGTCTCGTGTTTTTATGTTTCTCACGAATGGCGGATGACGTCACTGAACCCTATGAAATTGCCGCTCTTGCTAAGTCTCGGCTTGACGATGAGCAGCTTGTATTTTTCGTTGGCTGTCAAGACGTGTTTCTCTTTCATGTGGAGTCTCACTCTGTCGCATTTGTTACACAAGTTTTGCTGCTTGTGATCGGCAATCACAAATGTTTATCATACCTAACTCCCCTCCCAAAATAAAGTGAAGAAAAAGCAATTTATTTTTGCAAAAGTTCGGAGGTTCGACTAATTTATTTTGTAAAAAAGTTAGTCTTGCTTGCCAGTAGACAAGACAGCGTTTGATGGATTTTTATTGTGATACCACAACGGCAGCACACCCGTCTATAAAATACACATAACTCTTTCTGACGTCATTTCCACTTAAATTAGACCAAAAATCCGGTCCGTCTTCTTCTGTCTTTGTGGAAAAAAATAATTTCACAGTTTTCGTTGACACTAAAAATGTGAGGTCACAGACATTAAACCTGAGTACCCTGATTCCATATCTTTATAGGCCTATTACAGGCATCGAAAGGTGCGAACAGACACAAACTTAGCTTTATATATTAGATTAATGTTACGTTTAATTATTTGAATAGTAAATTTTTGCGTGGGAGATTTAATTATCATTAAATATGTTTCTTGTTAATGATATGATTCTTAATAAACATAACTTATAGTTTGTTCAACAATTTAACAAAAAGAAAGTTATTTTACTCATGAAAATAGGTCATCTCCCTAAAACTATGTACTTAATTTCACGGACATTCGTTTGAATAGCGAGTTAAGTTTCAACACACTCAAACACAATTAGTTCTTATTTTTATCGGATAAAGAAAGTTCCAGGATGTGCATGACATTTGTTAATTAGAATCTTATTTTTTTTGACACTCTTCTCATTGTACCCCCTATAAAACTTACAACATAAATGTTTTGTTTCCTAAATTATTCTTTCTTTAGGTCCTGGTTCTTTCATTTCACAAAGATGCCATAAAAAAGAACAATACAGTAGCCTTAAAGAAGTTTTGTGTGAAATAATGCAATATAACTTTGAAGTTTACAGCTAGCTTAACTAAGTTTGAAGACTTGAGTTTGAACAACGAGTGCGGTCGATGACTTAAATTATCTCACTATAACAAAATGATATCTCCATATAAAAAAGTCAAAAGAAAACTGGTTAACTTTTTATAAGTCATATCGTACCAATTTTCCTAGATACTGTAATTGCGCGCTTAATTTTCACATCCAAACATAAATATACTATATGGAATGATATAATAATTTACTCTTTTGTGTGTTTATCAGCATGCAAGTTTCACTTTGACAAATTTACAAAAAAACACAAAGAGGCTAAACATTATAACTAGTAAATCATTTATTGCACTCTAGACGCTTGAAAATTGACTACATTTGTAACTGAAAAACACGGCTTTTATGGTTCAAAAACTTTAATGAGCCCAACGTTATAAATATAACAAGTGTAACACACAAATTGTGTAGTAGTAAATTAAAATGTAACAATTATTACAGAAACTGTTACGTAACGACTAACGGGTTGATAATACATATGAAATATATATATATATGGGTAAGTGGACATGATCGAACATTTGAGTGTCGACAAAGAAAAATGCTGAGTAAATTAGGGTAATGGAAGCACTCAAAAGGTAATAATATCGCAACTAAATAACAATTGTTGTTGATGTCATTATCAATGTAACACTGAGCAAATAATATAAATGAATAACTCAGGCTGTTGGTGACACTATTAATGTAACAAACAGGAAACAATAGAAAAAAGTTCTAATAAACATCAAAATACAATATCATGAACATTTTTTTAAGTTGGGCTCTAAAACTAGATTTGTTCAAAGCAATATTATTTGGTAAATTTTCATTTGAAAAACCAAAAAATCATAGAATATATTGATCAAGTCAAACAGAAAAGTAATATAAGAGTTTTTAGATATTAGTGTCAGACCTTCCATTTTACAAGTATCAATAAAAATTGAAAAGAAACAGTGATACTCGGATTTAGTGCTTTGATCATAAAACCAAACAAATAAAAATGAGCTCGCACTAAAACACAATAAATCCTTTACACTTTTGAAAGGTAGACATGTCTTCATCAAAGGTAATGAATCCTCTGCTGAAAGATCCATCTGTCAAAAGTATCAGTGCATTATCAGTGATATTTTAATGTGATTTACCAAACTTTGTGATCTTACTTAATTTTTACTAAAATATTCCCACACCAATATAACATGTCTACACCATTGCTGAACCCACCTTCATAGAACACAATGACATGACATGGTAATACCACACCAATATAACATGTATACACCATTGCTGAACCCATCTTCATAGAACACAATGATATGACATGGTAATA